TGCACATTTTAAGTGTGCAGTTCCATGGATGTTAGTATATTCATACTGTTGTGAAACTATCACCCCTGCTTAATTTTAGAATATTTTCATCACTCTACAAGAAATTCTGGAGACTGAAGTGATGGCTTAGCATTTAAGAGCACTGGCTGCTCTTGCAGAGGACCCAGGTTTGGTTCCTAGCACCCTCATCGTGGCTAACAACCATCTGTAACTGCAGTTCCAAGGGATCCTAGCCCTCTTATGGCCTCCATAGGCATTGCATGAACATGATACACTTACATACATGCAGGCAAATAAATAAATAATTAAAGAATTAAATAAATAAAAAATAAATAAATAAATAAATAAATAAATAAATAAATAAATCCTGTACCTATTTATTAGTCACTTCCCATCTTTTGGGGGGAAATTTCAAATTTTTCTCCTTGTGGCTTTGCTTGTTCTGGATATTTTATATAAGTGAAATTGTAGAATATGTGAAACTTTCTGACTGGCTTCATGCACTGAAAATGGGGCTTCCAAGAATCACTTATACTGTAGTATGTATCAATGTTCTGTATCTTATATTTCCAAACAATAGTCCATTGTACTGAACATGTCACATTTTATCTATTATTAGTTGATGGATATAGGTTGTTTCTACATTGGGGCTGCTATGAAGAATGTTGCAGTAATTATTCATTTACACAGTTTTGCATGAACATATATTTTCATCCTTGTTGAAGATATATCTAAGAGTGGAATTACTGGATCATACTGTAACCCTGCATTTAGCAGAGGTCCATTGTACTGAACATGTCACATTTTATCTATTATTAGTTGATGGATATAGGTTGTTTCTACATTGGGGCTGCTATGAAGAATGTTGCAGTAATTATTCATTTACACAGTTTTGCATGAACATATATTTTCATCCTTGTTGAAGATATATCTAAGAGTGGAATTACTGGATCATACTGTAACCCTGCATTTAGCAGATTGTGAAACATAAAGTCATAAGTCTGCAAAGTCCAAGGTCAGGCAAGTGAAGATCTGGACTTTAGCCTGTAATGGAGGAAAACTGGGAGGACAAGCTGGCAGGCGCCTAAGAGAAGCAAGGGCGGATACTTCGCTTTGCTATTTGCTATTTCACCGTAACTAATCCAGTTCTGGAAGAGCGAGAACTCACACACGAGAGGCCTTAATAAGAAAGTCTTTAATCCTGTTAGGAGGTCTCTCCACCTGTGACCCAGGAACTGTACCTCAACATAGGTGTTGATAGAGACAAAGCATTAGTCAACCATCACATCTACTCCAGAGAGACACATTGTAGAACACATTTTCAGATTTCCTATCCCAACCTACAGCAACCCTGTAAAGCGGATCATTTCTTGTTTTATACTGAGTAACCCGGGCTTAGAGACTTTCTTGATTTCTTTAATCAATTTTCTACTTGATTTTATTTCTAAATACTATGCCTTCACATAGAGGTATCCATTTAATTTCTTTTTTTTTTTTTTTTTTGAGTGACTTTAATTCTACTTGTAAGTGGTAATGAAAGGAAGAAACAAGGTATTTGAGCCCTTGGATATTTTTTACACATTTTTTGTTATTTATTTTGTGTGCTGGTGGGAGCTGCTAATGTGGAGGTCAGAGGACAACTTTCAGGAACAATTTCTCTCCTTCCACCATGTGGAACTTAGGTTGTCAGGCTTAGCAACACTTTTACCCACTAAGCCATCTTACCAGGCCTTGAGCCTTTAAATTTATAACAATGATCCTGATTTTGTGTCTCATTTTACTTTTGTGGGGACTTTTTGCGTTATGAAATACATAAGCCCAGTAAATTTAAGCTGCCTCACATTCTGATTTCTGGAAAGCAAACGGCATACCTAATACACAGCACTCACTGAATGTTATATTTTATATCTGCCAATTAATTATCTATCTATGGACTGGGAATGAATAAGCTTCAAACCCTATTTGATATTTATAAATCTTACATAAACTTTAATAAACACTTTTCCATATATTTTTAAGTTATTTAAAGATTTACATTTATCTTTTAAATTTTTAAAATGTCCCATTTTATTGAATTTTTATGCATTTTCATACAATACTTCTTAATCACATTTAGACCCCCTCCCCTATCTGCATCCCACAGCCCCCCCACCAGGTTTCATGCATTCTGTCATATATGTTAAGGCCTATCAAGTCGAGTTTGTGTCCCCAGATGTCTCTTGGTATGAGTTCGTCCACTGGAGCCTGGTCAGTCTATCTAACATCACTCTCTTAAAGACCAACTCTCCTTCACCCAGCAGTAATCGGCTGCTAATAGTTCTGGAAGATTTATTTCATGTACCCTATTAGCACACAAGCAAAGAAAAATATACATTCCTTCATATTATGGCTTTGAATACTATTCATGATACCTCATTATCACA